TGTCACTCATGCTCATGCATTTCCCTACAATGCCCATCTATAATGCGCGAATAGAGAAGAGATGGCCGCTACTCTCCGAATGGCTGCCTCGCGTGCTGCTCGGCAAGCCATTATCCGAGTCGCGGCTTCCCCTGCCTCTGTCAGCCCTGTGCGGTGCTTGGCGTCAGGCGGAGGGGAATATAACCCTTTCACACACTCCTTGGACCGGTTAAACACGAAGAAGGTGAGGATCCTATGATGCGGTGGGTCTGTGATGCATAGGTTTCTTTTTTCCGAGGCACATGGGAGATGAACGGGCGGGAGTTGAGTGAGAGTCTTCGATTTGGCCGTGTGTGTGCGTATGTCTAGCTTTTTAGTGGGAGATCATTGACCCTCGCGCCATAGTCGGACTGGTTTTGATTGTTTTTTGGTATCTAATCAGATGCTCGGAAAAGTAGCCTGTTCTTCCTCTAAGCACTCACACATTTCCTTACGCCAAGGTCCTGCTCCTCTGTGCACTTGTTACAAGTCAATAGAAGTCAAAAGCAAGCACGTTGTGAGCTTTTAAGCCCTTCAGCGCTTCATAGTTAAAGAATGATTTTTGGGTAGCAAGACTTAATATTTCTCGGGTCCCTGTCCCGTTTTCTCCGTCCCACTTGCTCTCCCTCGCTCTGTTCTCCCCTAGGTGGCCCAAACTCTAGACTTGGGCGATGGGAAGACGCAGAAGATCTTCGAGCGCATCAAGGTCGAATTCCCTCCTGAGCATTGCCCCCCCATGAGGCTCTCCGGCCCTGTAGGCAAGATCACTAGCAATCTGTACTCGTACGCCTCCATGAACGGCGTCTTGGACGCGGTGGAGAAAGACTTCCACCTGGTCGAGAAGGATTTGATCGGCACGAAGGAATGGCTCAACAGCAACGGCTGGACTACGACGCAGAAGCTAGAGATGGTGAACAAGTTCATGAGCAAGGCGGGGAGCCTGACCCCGTTCACAAAGGAGCTTTTGCCCTACTTCGTGGAACAGAAGATGCTCAAGCACTTGCCCGAGATCAAAGACCTGTTTTTCAAGCTGGTCAAGGAGAAGCGCGGCGAGATCGACGTGTTCGTTACCAGCGCCGACCCCCTTGATGCGGCAACGCTCAAGCAGCTAGAGGGCCTTATCATCAAGCAGATCGGATCGTCGGCGGCTAGCAAAGTGAACTTCCACACGGACGTAGACAAGGACCTGGTGGCGGGGCTACGCATCCGGTATAAGAGCACCTTGATCGACAACACCGTCACCCGCAAGGTGTCTGCGACCAAGGACACGTGGGCAAAGGCCTATCAGGAGGCCATGGCGTTGTAAGGAGGAAGCTTTTAGAGGTTCGAGGGGGAAGGTGGGGTGGGGACTTCGACTGAATCGTGCGGGTGGAAGTGGGGCCTCGCGCGGCCCCGTGCAGGACGTAAGGCACTGGAAAGGTTAAGGTGGCAGGGTAGAAAAGTGAACGACGCGAAAGAAGAATTTGTGAAGAAAACTGCCCCGAAGTGTGTGCGAATCGATTCTGTGTTTCTTTTTTACCCATGTCTGTGAGCACATTGATTCGTGTATCTGGCCTTGGCATGACCCCCAAAGGGGAGCGGCCACCATCGCTGCGGTGTGCCAATATAACTTCGTGGCGTTCTTCTAAGCCACTCTGAATGACCCGTAGGCTGTGTTGCTCCCACTGTCCGTGCTAGCGCCCGGTCTTTGTTGCACACCCACGCAACAGCTCATCCTCTCCCACTTGGTAAGCTCGCGCCTTCTAGAAGAAGTCTGTCCTGCGTGGCTGATTAGATAAGCGTTCCGCTTCCCACCGTGCACGTCGGTATTGCTCAGTCCAAGGGAAGGGTCCAGAGGAGAAGAACGCGCATGATCGCAAACGCCGCGACATCTGGCCTCCAGGCAGCAAGTGTTTCCCTCCGTTTCTTACCCATCCCTCTCTCACACGAATTCTCACACGGTTTCGTGCTGCCCAGCACCTGGAGACTTCTTCCCATCGGCCACTTCCCCCCCACCCCCCCCTTGAAACTGTTGCATCTGTGCATACATGGCTGCCATATGCGCGGCTTGCGCAGGATCCAAAAATTGTGGCGCCACCAGCTGTTGGGAAGGGACGCTTCCCGAAAGGAATGGATTCCCGGGAAACGCAACTTGCTGGCCAAAGAAGGGCTGCCCTTGTCCTGGCCGACCTCCCCCGGCTCCTCCCCCTGCACCTCCTCCTCCACCACCCCCTCCTGATGCCGCCGCCGCCGCGGCAAATGCCATGTAATGTTGCTGCGGCTGCTGCGTTTGATCTTGTGGCGGCTGAGGCTGTTGTGCTCCTTGTTGTTGCTGCTGCTGTTGTTGGGCTTGCGCGAATTGTGCTTCCACCTCCGCGTGATTTTTACTCCCAGGCCCACTCGAGCCCTTCAAGAACGCCAAATCTTCCGCGGCTTGTACCATCTCCTGCAGATCGTCCCCGCCGGACACTTCCGACGACTTCTTCCCCGATTTCCCTTGCCCCCTCCCTCCCGCTCCTCCCCCTCCTCCGGCCGCTTGCTGTTGCTGTAGGAGCTGCTGCTGTTGCTGAGCTTGCAACAACAGGAGCTGCGTGGGCGAGAGGGACTGGTGAAGGGGATGTTGTTGCATTTGTTGCTGCTGTTGTTGCTGTTGGGCAGCCAGTTGCTGGAAAAATTGCGCTTGTGCTTGCGCCTGTTGCCGCTGAATGAATTCCAGCTGCTGCTGATGCTGCTGATGCTGTTGTTGCTGTTGGTGTTGTTGTAGGTTTTGCGAGGCCAGTAAGGCGTGCTGCTCAAAGAAGCCCGGGGGCACGGGTTGTCCAGGGGAGAAGAAGGGCAGGAGCCCTGGATGCGGGCTGTGGTGGGGTTGGAGGCCGGGAGGGAGGGAGAAGAGCCCCTGCGCGGAGAAGTCCGGCTGCCCTGCCTGGGCCGGATGTCCTTGGAGGGGCGACGTCCGCTGACTGGTGGGGGTTGGGGACATGAGCGACCGGTGAAAGAAGGGCATTTGTTGGTCGGCGAGCCCCTGGTTGCTTCCCAACGCCGGGACCGCCCCGCTGCTGCCGCTCCGTCGGCGCTTGGAGGACGGGGAGGAGCCCCCCCCCCGGATCCACGCTCCTTCACACCCCCGCCTCCGCCGACTCCCTCCCCCGTCACCTCCGGCAGCACCTGCTGCTGTTGCTGCTGGCGCAGGGCAGCAGCTACCATGGAAGCCATCATGTGGGGCTGGGGCGTGGCCAAAGCCGGGTTTTGTCCCACTTGCTGGGCCGCTTGCCGCGCCGCTGTGGCCCCTCGACGGGCCGCCATAACTGCTTCCTCGTAGGGGCGCCCCAGGCCTGCCACATTCTGACAGCCTACGCAGGAACACTTGTCGGAGCACCGGGCCCCGGCGTTGAAACACTCGCAGTATTTCTTTAGGCAGGCGGACTTGCGGCATTTGCAGCCCATCTTATGCACAGCGTCCTCTCCGTTCGGCCGGAACTTGGTCTGGAAGGCGTTGGGGTTACGCTCCATGATTTGCCGAATTGCCTCCGCCCTCAGATGGTTCTGACCTGCCGTGTTCAAACAGTTCTGACAATTGCAAGAGGGAATGCAGAACGCCTGGGCGGCGAAGCACTGGCAGTACAATTTCAGGCACCGGCTGCGTTTGCAGTTGCACCCGGGGGCCACCCCGTCCATGGTGGTCACATTGGAGCCGTAGGCGGGGAGGGTGGGGGGCTGGGAGGGTGTGACCTGAGAGGATGTTGAGGGCGGGAGGGAGGCCACCTGGGACGGGACGACCGGGAGCCCGACCTCGGGCTTGAGGAGCCTTCCTCCGGGTACGCTTTGGAGGGGCGGGGCGGAGTCATCGGTGGCGGAGCGGGCGGGCAGAGAAGGCGGGGCCGCGGGGGCCACAGACGCTTGTGTTTGCTGCGCGTCCCACAGCACGTTGACGGGCCCCATGCTTTCCCCCTTGCTGAGCGTGCTGCTGATGGGCCGGGGGACCGAGAGGGAGGAGGGTGGAGGCGCCGCGCCTTGCCCAGCTCCTGGCCCCCTCGAGCCATCCAGCGCCACACCTTCTCCATGCCCTTCCTCGGCGTCACTTCCTGGTCCCATGTCCTCTTTTTTCGTGGCCCGCGCCACCTCAGAGTCCTCCACGTCATTCTCGTCACTGCCCGTGTACGCGACCACTGGGGGTGCCTCTTGGCGCTGGCCGTAGGGCTGCATCCTCTCCCCCCTCTCCTCCGACCCCTCTTGCCGGACTACGGCGCCTGCCTCCGAGCCCCCTTGTCCTGGCTCTTGGAATGGCGCACGTTGATCGTCCGGGCGTGCTTCCGCCTCCTCCTCCTGCTGCCCTCCACCATCGAGCTGGGGCAATCCCTGCGCTGGCGGCTTCTCCATTTTTGACGCCCCGTACTCTACTTGGCGCTGCCCGTCTTCCCTCTCTTCAGGCCGTGCGGGTTCCGGCTGCGGCCGTGGTCCGTCGCCTTCCCCTATCCCGCCCGTCCCCTCCATATATCTGTCCATGTCTCTCGGCCTGCCATCTCCCTCGCCCTCGACGCCAACATAGGAGCCCAGCCCACGATCATCCTCACCAGATTTGCCCTCGTGGTCTCCCTGGATGGCATCGCTTGTCGCGACGTCGCTGACAGTCGCATCGTCCGCTTGCTCTGTTGTCTGTCCTAGCTGCTGTCTTGCTTCCTCTTGCTGATGCTCCGCTTCTGCATCCATGTGACGGGAAGCTACGTCTGCCCCCCAGTTTTCCTCGGATTCTCCAGCAAATGACATGAAGTGGGACGAGATGGGCGTGTCGTTGCCATTTCGGGCCTCTGACATGATCTTTAGGTTTGAATGTTTTCAAACGCCACTCTCGAGTCTTCGCGCCGAGCAAGCCGCGTTTCTTCCACACGTAGTGATAAGGGGAAAGCGCGCTAACACGACCTACGTAGTTGAGACGAAAATGGGTGGACAAAAGGGATATATGTTGCATGTGGGTCCATCCTGGGGATAAGCAGGTGACGATATGGAAGAAAGTCGCGGGGGCGGGGAGTGATGAGGCGTCGGCGGCAAGAAAGCTGGTTGCTTCACCTCGCACGCGTTAGCAAACTATGCACGCTGAACACCACCATAAATCTCCACCATGCACTTGCCCCTAACCCGATTACTGTACAGCGTGCGTCCCCATGAGGATAACACCGGGAACTTTTTCCCGTCACTGGAAAGCGCTGCCATTCAAACAGTTGGAATTTCGACTTAAATTTTCAATCAGGGGGCAACTCCGCGCCTTCCCCCACCCGCTACCACAGACTGCCACGCCCGCCCCCACCAGTGTTGTGAAAACACCCACCGCCCCCACGCCCGTGTGGACCGGGAAGATATTGGTTCCATGCGTGCCCTTGGGCGGGGTTTGGGTGTTGTGTGGAAACCAGGGACTACATAGTGCGGTGTTTCCTCGTCAAGTGGGGGTGCTGGAAGTCGAGGCCTGTGTTCTCGCTTGCATACCAGATGTTCCTCCCTCCTTTTGAGGGGTGAGGGGTTGTGGGGCTCGCAGCCGTCAGCTCTTCTGCGTTTTTCTCATCACTGCAGCATTCACTGCTTTTTAACCAGGGGTCTGGCTTGAAGGCGGCGTTCCGGTTTCATCCACCTGCGTTCTTGGCCGTCGCATCGCTTGTTGTTGTACCTCAACTACAAGAAGGCAAGCAAGGCCTTACGGACTTCAAAGTCCGTCATCTTCCACAGCATGCAAGAACCCAAGCACGCTTACAGAGGCACTCCTCTTCTCATTTCACTACTAATGTTCTCGATGCTCGGTCTGTCCTTGGCAAAGGGCCCCAAGTCCGTGTCCCCCCCCGGCCTCCCGGGCTTCCTCCATTTTCCCTCCTCGGCATCTTCTTCTCTTGGCGCTCTTCGCTCTCCGGGGCCGTCCGCGTCGTTGTCGAAATGTCCTTCAATCGTGGAGCACCGCAAGGGGGTAGTTTCAGCGGCGGGAAAGGACGAAGACAGCCAGGAAAGAAAGCCGCAGGGCTTGAAGATGAAGAACAACGGCGGCAGCACGTCCAAGGGCAGGCTGCACGAGCTTCCTATCTTCAAAAGCATGGCTGCCAACCAGGACGGTGAGCTTCAGCGCGATAACAGCGACAGCAGTGAGCAAGCAAAGGTCAGTGCAGCCTCCTCCTATGTCCCGGGGGGAAGGGTCCCCGCCGTCGTCGCGGAGGCCAACAAGGCCATCGTCAGCTCCATCAAAGACGCTCTCGTGGCCGTGTATGGGGACCGGCACTACGCCCGTTTCCACGCCCTCGAGACCATTGCTCGTGTGCCGTACTTCGCGTACACGTCCGTCTTGCATTTGTACGAGACCCTGGGATGGCGGCGCCGGGCGGACTTGATGAAAATTCACTTTGCGGAGTCTTGGAACGAGTTGCATCACCTTTTGATAATGGAGGAGCTGGGCGGGAACGCGGAATGGCTGGACCGATTGGTCGCCGTGCATTTGGCATTCTTTTACTACTGGATGGCCATCGCGCTTTATATGGCGTCGCCGGAAACCGCCTACAATTTGAACGAGATGGTCGAGCGACACGCGTACGATACTTACGACAAGTTTTTGGAAACACACGAGGAGGAGCTGAAGGCGTTGCCACCGCCTCAGATTGCGAAAGAGTACTATCAAACAGGTATGGCGAGGGTTCAGGCTGTCACAAAGACTATTTATTCTCCGCGAGGCCCTGCTGAGATTTGTCGCGTCTTTGTTAACCTGACGCTTCAAGTAACTTGTGTCCCCCCACCATTTCTTTGATAATCTAGGAGATCTCTACATGTTCGACGAGTTCCACACCAACAGCCCTGCTGAACGGCGCCGACCAAAAATCGAAAGCTTGTACGATGTTTTTGTAAACATTCGCAACGATGAACGCGAACACTTTATGACAATGGCCGTCATGCAGGGGCATAGTGGAGACGCTGGCATTGTGTCGCCCAACACGCTGGACCCCCTGAACAACCCCAGGCGCGGAAAGGACTGAAAGTGACATACGCTTATCTATCATCGAGGCCGTCTGGGGCTACGAATGTATTTGTTTTCAAATAGAGAAGAATCACGCTGTTTTTAAAAGCTACATCGTTTCCTGGCTAGCCTAGCGTCTTATATTTCTTGTTCATTTGTAGCAGAGCTTGCGTTTCATTGTGATTTCCGAGTGGCATGGGCCGAAGGGGAGAGGACAGGAGGTTAAGACCTGTGGCCTCGCGATCACGGTTTTCCCCCAAAAAAAATTATCGGAACTCACTGATAGCCATCACTCACAACAAACCAGCTCATGAATGCATTTTGGAGAGAATGCCCCGAATGCTTGAGTACTCACCGGACCAGGGCTGCAGCAGTGCCACGGCCCTGCAACGTAGGAAGCACCCCCAGCGGGATCTTCCCAATGACCACATGTTTGCAAACGCGGTGGACATACATGCACAATGCAAGCGGCGAGCTACAACGCTCTGTATCTCTTCGAATACAGCGCCAAAGCCCTATTCGGCGTTCGCTGTCAGTCTCGTCGCAGGCGGCGGAGCAGGCGTCATTGAAACCATCCTAACGTATCCCTTAGACCTTGTGCGAACGCGTTTGCAAATGCTGCAAGATACCACGGGCAACGGTGCCGATTTGATTCCTAGCAAGTTTCCTTGTCGGAGGCATTCACCTGGCATCATGAGACTCTTAGCATCAATTGCTCAAGAGGAAGGGTTTCTCCGGATCTATCGAGGTCTTCTACCTCCCCTGATCTCTGAAGTACCACGTCGCGCCCTCAAATTCAGCGCGAACGAGTTCTACACGCATCAAGGGCGTGCATTTCTGAAACGATGGTCAGGTAGGGCCGAGGTAGAGTAACTGGTGGCGTTGTTGCAGGATGTATGCGCACTTGTGTTTAGCCTTGCACAGGCCACGAGCGCCTCATTGTGTATTGGTGGCTGCTTCTTCTCTTTAAAGAAGTGTATAATAGTCTTAAGAGAAAGCCCTACGTATATAACTTGGCACCTGGTATCTCCCGGCAGTCTTGATTCTCTGTAGACTGCCGTGGTCATGAAGATGCGTGCGAAAATGAGCGACACCTCGGATTACTCCGTGACGTGCGTCGACTGGCATGGGTTATTAGTTGGGCCGCCGATTGTTCTCCCAATAACGCGGGGCCCTGGTCCCTTCCACACACTGTGTTACTCCCCCTTTTTAATCTCATTTCAGGAACCGACGCGCGTGGTCATTGGTTCCTTCCGGCTTCTGGGCTTCCATCTCTTCCTCCTTAGCATCCCATGCTTGTCCCGCACACCCGCTTTACCATCCTCCCGCAGGCGTTTCCTCCCCTTTCTTCCCCGTCCTACTCGCTGCAGTGGCTGGCACCATGACCGGACTCACGGAAACGCTCCTTCACACGCCCTTTGAGCTCCTTAAGACCCGCCTCCAGTCCCTAGAATTCCAGCACTGCCGCGACGCCCACGCGTGTGCCCAGGAGGTCTGGGCCCAAGGCGGGAGGGCGCAGGGAGGCTGGAGGAGGCTGGCTGCCTTCTATCAAGGCTGGGAGGCCTATTTGTGGCGGCAGGGGGTCTGGAACGGCGTCTTCTTCACGAGCATCGCCGCCATCCGCACGCACGCCCCATTGGCCTCATTTCTCCCAGCTTCATCAGCCCCGACAACTTCTCCTCGTTCCACTGCCTCAGTCCAATGTTCCTCATCGTCTCCGTCTTCGTGCCCTGCCCCTTCGCTTAACTTCTCGCTGCTTCCCTCTCCTCCCACCTCCTCCTCTTCCTTCGCCTTCCCCCTCGTCTTCCTGAGCACGCCCCGCGTCTACGATTTCGTCACGGGCCTCCTCGCCGGCACATTGGCCACGCTGCTCAACACCCCCTTCGATGTCTGCAAAACGAGGTTGCAGTGCGTCACCTATGGCAGGACGGGAGGATTTGGGGGAAGGGACGGGGGGGCATCCCTACCTTGGGTCCTGCCCTATCTGAGAGAGATATGCAAGAAGGAGGGGCTCCGAGGATGCTTTAGGGGCCTGAATGCACGTCTATACAGGGCAGCCCCTGGAAGCGGGATCTTACTGGTCGCCTACGAGGGTATTGCCAAGCTGATGAGGTTGGAGGAACCAATGTAATGGGAAGCTGGTGGGCTTGGCGGCGAGGTAGTGTTATGTAGATCAGTCTGTTTGGTGGTGAGAGTGGGTGTATCATCAAGATCGTATTGCCCTCGTCTGCAGTGTACAATTCCGATGGGGAGATGATAGTTGCTGCCATGATAATTTTTGTCATAAACGTAGTGTGTGGATGTAAAAAAGCCCGCGTTGAGGCAAAGAAAAGCAGACATTGCGAAAAAGCAATAGAGCCATCGAGAAAGATGCTCGTTGTGGCCGATTTATAGGTCGGTTAATTGGATGTTTTTGGGCGATCACCACGCGTCCTCAGTGAAGTGATCGGCCTCCCTCTTGATCCTCGCTCTTCCCATCGAGCCAAGGAACCAAGAGCTTCTCAGCGCCGCCTCGGTCGACCACCTGACCGATATTTACAATCGTTTGCATTTCAATCAAGGTCCTGCTTTACATTTTTTGCACTTCAATAGAGTCCGCCAAATTAGCGTGTTTCTCCAAGTGCAAATCATCGCGAGGAGACAAGTGGAGGCACCGACGGCGAAGCGGTCGTAGGAGAGGGTTCGGCGGGACTGACAAGGGCACGCATGAGCTGAATGACGAACTTCCTCTCGTTTTCTGCGTTTTGGACCATGAGCATGGGGTCGTTGGAGGGATGGCGGAGGAGGTTGGGAGAGAAGACGATGGCCAGGTTCCTGGGCGTCATTTGATTGAACTGAGAGAGCTCGGCGCAGTGGTTCAGAAAATGGATCAGGTAGACCAAGGTGGCCGCATTGGCCTTGGGGAGGACCGTGTCGAGGAACGCGAGCGTCGGCGCCAGGTCTTGGGCCTGGCCCGCGTCCAGGGCGCGTCGATAATGCTGCAAGGGGACGAGAGGCTCCCGCAGGTGCCGAAGCCAGGCTTTGAGCAGGTCGGCCACCACCATCGGGTCCGTCGTGTCCACGGCCTCGGTCCCGTACACCACGTAGCTCCCGTCCTCCAGGCCCTGCTTGACTGCGAGCACGCGCTCCGTGACGGCAGCGCGACGGAAGATGCCTTCCACCTCGTAGCCCTCCAGCTCTTGGAATTTTCGGATCAGGACTTGGACGATCAACGGCACGTTCCCATTCTCCAGGAGCATCTCGCTCGATGGGAGGCCTCCGCCCCCCCCTCCTCCGCCCCCTCGGACAACGACCAGCTCCTTCCGCAGGACCTCTTCCAAGGAGCAGTCGAAGACCGTGGGCGGGATGACCAAGGCTTGGATACGGTCCAACTCCGCGACGGTCAGGCCCACCGGGGCGGCCCTTCCCTCCCTTCCGCTTGCGCAATCCCGACCTGGTGGCTGCTGAAGATCCCGCTCTGTGTTCACGAAGACGGTGTAGGCGTGGTAGGCCAAGCCGCTGGCATCAAGGCCCCGGCCCCCGGTCCTCATCTCCTTGCTCTCCCTCCCTCCTTCGCTTCCCCTGCCCCCCCCCGAGGCCGGAGGCAAGGGCGGAGGGGCGGCGTACTGGTGGCAGGCCCGGTCCGCGTGCCAGATGAGGCACTCGCGGAGGTCATCGTCCGTCGGCATGAACGAATGCGCGAAAGCGACCAGCAGGCGCCAGCCGCGCAAACAGGAAGCAGGGTCCGGGTTCTGAATCGTCTGGGCGAGCGCGGCCACGTACAGCTCGTTGCGCAAGTCGTGCATCCACGCGTGCGGTTTGAGGCAGGCGCCGGGCTCCCGGCTGGGGGCCTGGCCGAGGGCACAGAGGTGGAGGAGGAGGGCGTGCTGGGCCTCGCCATCGGCCTCGCCGGCCTTGCTGGCGGGGGACGAGCAGGAGAAGGAGGATTGAGGGGACTCGGAGGGCGATGGAGACGAAAAAGGACGCGGTGCCTGCGTTTGACCGCCGGGAAAGGGCCAGGAGATGCTCGCGGTGCTGGAGAAGGAATGGTGACGGAGCCGATCCGAGCCGTTGTTTTGGCTGGTGCAGCTCCCTCCTGCCGGACGGTGTGGGCGTGGGGACTTCCAGAGGTGTCCTTCCTCCCCCGGTTCCTGCTCCTCTTCTTGCACCACCGCGTCCAGGTCGCCCATGTAGACCATGATGAGCCGAAACGCCTTGAGGGCCGCGGCCGCCCCCTCCTCGCGAAGGTAAGCATGGAAAGGACGCTTGGTCGGGGACGCGTGAAAGCTCAGAAGCTCGTTCAACGAACGTGGCCGGAGAAGGAGCACGGCCGCGCTGGCGGCAGCGCTGGCGGCTGTGGTTGCCGGGTGCACGGGTTCAAGTCCCGGCCCGGAGGGGCTTCCCCCCCCATGGCCCTCCCTGGCCTTGGACAAGAAATGCTCGATGTGCATCTTCTTCATCGCGTTCTGCAGGTGGCTTCCGTTGTGGTTCCCCTGGCCCTCCCCTTTGCCTGCGGTGGTGTTGCTGCTGGCTTGGCTGCCGCTAGAATTATCTGTGCTCCGTTGATGGGGAGTCTTACTTTTGTCCCCGCCATGCACCGCCATGGCAGCCGCCACCGCCGCGCCTATATCTCGACCTTGCGCGCTCTGTCGCAACGTATGGCGCCGCAGCCGTCTCTGCTGCACGTCCATGTAGTAGACGATGGAGGAACGCGCTAATTCCTCAGCCAGCCCCTCCAAGTAGGGCCGCGGGCCCTCCACCCACCCTCCTGCCTCCATCCCGGCCCCCTGCCCCACGGGCTCGCTCCAGATCAACTCCCGGGGCCCGTGCTCGGGGCAGACCGTGGCATTCACGATCAGTGGCAAGCACTTCAACCATTCCTCGCAGTGGCTCTCCGAGGAGCACCAGATGTCGATCACTTTCTCCGGGCCCGGGGGGGTCGTTCCCGTCAGACCCCCGTGGCCCAGGTGGCTGAAACTACCCTCCTTCCCCTTGCGCACGTGCAGGGTGAAAGTGGTCGAGTGAAAGTTGAGTTGCTCCGCGTCCCGTCGATGTCGAAGGGTGGGCCCCGCCCTCACCATCTGAAGGCCGTCTCGGAGCTGAGCGATGTGCTTGGCTTTATGCCGGGTTTGGCCCGATTTGGCCAGACGCAGGGACCTCAGATCGTCGCTTAGGAAGAGAAACCGCTCCTTGTACGATTTCTCATGCTCCGCCTTCTTCTTGAGGCTGAATCCGCGCTGAAGGACGTAGACTGCGTGCCGCAGGCGTCCCCTCTGGAAGTTGTCGCGCTGCTGCTGGTGGAGCTTGGCCTCCATTAACAGGCTTTGCGTGAAGGTGTGGTAAAGAGTGCTCCGTCTGCGGCCGGCCGTTACCGCGAGTGTATCCAGAGTCGTATTTCCGTCTAATTTGACCCCAGTGTTGGACACCTCCAGACTTAATTGCCGGAGCTCGGCCGCCTCGTTTCCTCTCGCCTCACTAGCCTCGTTGCTTCGACTGCGGTCCCACGCACAGGTGAATTCATCTTCCTCGCCCCAATCATCGACAAAAGCATCAAAATTGTCCTCAAACGTTCCTCTCAAATCGTTTTCCTCCTCTCCCTCCTCCTCCTCCTCTTCAAGATAGCCATCACTGCTACCGTCTTCGCTGTCCTCCCCGTCTTTGCCCTCCTTAACCCGGCATCTCGCTTCCTGTGATAGCTCCACGCTTTGCTCTGCATCCTCTTCCACGTACAGTATATCGTCGTAAATGTGCTCTGGCGATGCTGCCTGCATAATGGCAGTGGCGATCGACAGCGTCGGCTGTCGAAGCGTTTAAGAGTACCCCTAGGCGAGTCTAGGCAATATGGGCCGGAAGAACGAGAGGGTGAACCCACTTGCTTCTAATGGCACACGTTGGCGCCCCAGACAGACCTATTGCCTCAGTGTGTCTATGCTTATGAGAAAATGTTCGATGCATGAGCCACAATAAGAGTGACGGACGGGCAGACGTGGAAATGACGTTAAGGTGGGGAGAGGCTCGATCTTGGGCAAGTAGCCCCAGCTTTACTAACCGACACAGAGAGGGCAAACGCCGACCACACGGGGCACACGGCACGCACAAGTTTCCTCGACTTGCGGTCGACCATCCCCCGCGAAGCCGCATGGTCACGTGCACGCGCGTCCAACGACGATGGGGGATGGACTGAAATAGCCTGTTGGACTTATGTCCGGCACTTCCCCTGTTTTTGTCGAGCAGAGTGTCTCCGGGGGTGAATCCAGACAGGGAATGATACCTTTTGTTCTGGCGCGTGAGATGACAACGAGAACAGATAGAACTTGACGTTGACATTGCCCTTTGCCCTCCCACCTTGCCAACCACTCACATTTTAAAACACCCTGCACTCGTATAGAAAGGTCGCTTTTGGTCCAGCCTATCAGAAGTCAGTGTTGCAGCGTTCGGACCGTTTTTCTGAAAAGAAGCAATGCGCCCTCCCATTATCACCATGCGACCTCCCCTTTCCGTCGTCGTCGCCTTTCTGACCTACTGTGGCGCGTTTTGGTCTCTTACAAACGGATCAGCATTTGTGCATGCATTTGTGATGCCATCGTTTCCTTGTGGGCATTCACAGCTCTTCACGGCTCGAGATTTGTCTCAGCCCAACTTGTATCTCTGGCAGCCACGGCAGCGTCAGCAGGCACACTTTTCATCCTTCTGGCTTGACCCGACCAGAGATACCCCCTTAGAAGAGTGGAACATCTCTGAAGACCACCCAGGCGTCCCACCGACGGAAGCAGGGAACCAAGTTGAAGACGATTTTGAGGGAGGGGACGAGGGAGAGCGCAGAAACGCTGAGTACGGCAGGGGAAGATCTATCGGTGGTGTAGCCTCCTTGTGCACGGATACCGCGCCTGCAAACGAAATCTACAAGGCTGCAAACCCTAGCGAAGAGACAAAATTAAGAGCCTCAGAGGACGGAGTTAGTCGAGGGAAAAAGGACGGGTTCAACGTGTTCAAAACCATCAGCGGGGGCGGCTTGGGCGGTCGTGGGCGCTTTCGACCGTCCTTCTTCACGCGCAGCAAAGATACCTTCCCGTCCTGTATGCCCCGCTCTAATCACGTAGAGGGTAGTAGGAGAGCAAAGGCGCCCAGAATTTCGGCGCCCGTGGGGCCCAGTGGCACGGCCTCATCGACCTCCTCCCAGTCCTCCGCCGGCTCCTCCGCCCCCCTCGTTTCCATGCCCAATCTCCCTTCGGCGAAACCGGCTTCCTCCCAGAAGAGCAAGGCACTACAAGGTAGTAGCAGTGCCAACGATTACCTTGACAGCGTTCAGGCATCCACGTCCCCCGGGAACAACAGTAACATGCAAGTCTTGCTCAGCATGGTGCAGTCGGACCCGTCCAAGCGCCTCTTGGTCTGGGCGGCCTTTTTGGGCCTTGGGTGGACCCTCCGGTCCTTTTACGGCATCATCTTGGGCACATTTGTCTTATCCTACATCGGCTCCTCCGCCGTGCGCTGGAGCGAGGAGAAAGGCAACGAGCTGGGCGGGCGGCTCAAGCTGCCCCCCCTCCCCCGCCGGTTCTGGGCCTTGGCCTATGTGGTCCTCGTCCTCAGCAGCTTCGTGAGCTTGACCGTGGTCACCGTTCCTCGGGTTGTGGGGGAGACGAACTATTTGTCCCTCCTGATCGAAAGCGAGAATCCCTACGTCTTTGTCGCGGACGGCGTTCGACGGCTTCTGGGGCCCGACTTCTCGGGAAAAGTGGAGGCCTTCCTCCTCTCTGTCACAGGGGAAGAGGGCCGTGCATTCGCCACGGGCGTGCTCTCTGCCACCTCTCCCACCTCCTCCTTGTTCTCCGGTCCCTCCGCCTCGTCCTCGACCTCCTCTGCCGCCGCCGCCGCCTCCGTGGCTCGGAAGCGCTTGAGCCAGCCCCTCAACGGCCTCCCCCTCGAAGCCTGGACCCCGGCTCGCTCCAGCCGCTTCGCCAAGCTCATGGAGTATTCCTTGAAAGGTTACATCAAACAAGCCTATTTCGTGACCCAGAAGCTCCTCACCTCCAGCACCAAGCTCGTCTACAAGGGCCTCCTCTCCCTCCTCTTCTCCTTCATGATCATCTGGGACCTGCCCCGCCTGGCCCGAGGCACCCAGCGACTGGCACGCTCCCGCTTCGGCTACGCCTACTCGGTTCTAGCGCCTCAGCTTACCGCCTTTGGGCGCCTGGTGGGGCAGAGTTTCGAGGTGCAATCCATCATCGCGCTAGTCAACACCCTGCTCACCACCCTGGGCCTTGTCTTCCTGAAAATCCCGGGCTACGGCTTCATGAGCCTGGTCGTGCTCATCACCTCCTTCATCCCCGTCTTCGGCGTCTTTCTCTCCACGCTGCCTATGGCCCTGGTCGCGGTGAGCGAGTACGGGGTGGGGAAGATGATCGACGTGATCCTGATGGTCATCGGCGTCCACGTGGTGGAGGCCTATTGCCTCTCCCCCCTCATCTACTCCGCGACCGTGAAACTCCACCCGGTCCTGATCGTGGCTGCCCTTTACATGATGGAGCACCTGGCGGGGCTGCAGGGGGTCTTTCTGGCGGTGCCTGTCACCATGTTTGTGATCCGGCAAGTACTGGGTATCCCTGCGGACGGGCATGGGAAGGGGAGTCTGGAAGCGAGGGAGGGGCAGGTGGTGCAAGCCTAGAGTAGTGACGTGTAGCTGTAAGTGGCTTTTGTACATATGGAATGGGGTGTAGTGAAGTAGTATCGAGAGATATGTTCTTTTAAATAGAGGAAGAGCTCATAGAGGAGAAGCACTATGGCGTGAACAGTCTAAAGAATGAGGGGGGATAAGGTCATAAAATCGAGGAAGAAGAGAGGATTTAACTCAGAGAGGGAAAATAAGGAACGCGTCCCCGCTTGAATCGAACCCGGAAGTTCCCGTGTAATCATCCATCTTGGATGTCAGGAAATAGGGCAACACTAAACCTCCTGAGAGCTTTGCAAAATTGACGTCCATCCAATGTCACCTGACATTACTTCAGATTTCCAAGATGCCGTACACATCATTATCACGGAAATTTTGAAAATAATACAGACCTAGCACATAATCAAATGCCCTAGAGATGGTAGATATGGAGAGAGGAGGACGCCGCCTCCCCTGTGTACGATCCCTGCGTACCCCCCTTTCTGAACGAAGGGGACATTCCATGGCAAAACTGAAATTTTCGAATATGTGGCCTGTCTTCCAATCGCTGTAGCATCAAAGTCATGAAACAATGGTCGAGCCCGGGTGCCGTGGTCTCATGCCTCCGCGACATGTGATGTGCACGTAACTCGCAGTCGGACGCAGTCGGCGAGTCCTCGAGCGTAAAGAATGCCTCACTTATACACCGGTAGACCACGCCTTTTAACTTCTGCTGATATTCCTTATTGCAAGGGCGCAACATTTTACTCGGGGCACGAGATGGAAGTGGCAACACATGAAATGTGTGCTTGACACGCAACGGAGTAGCTGGTTGCTGCTGCTGATCCCACACGAGACTCCTCACACGCGTACGTCATTCCTTTTAAGGTTTTTTTTTTTTGCGACAGGTCGATTCTGCTTTGACAGGGAAAATGGCCGCAGAGCTCTTTAAAGCCTTGCAAGGACATGAAGTTGTAATGGCAGCCATTGTTGCATTCCTTGTGACGGCATTTATGATCTTGACGGGAAGGAAGGGAGGCCAACATGTGAATCCGGGTGAGTTTCGAGACGCAAGAGGGTTTGCAATTGGTCCTTGATAATAATCCACACACTCATGTCTTGACAGGGATCAAGAAAGATCAGCCTAAGGTTGTAGATTCCTTTACGATGAAAGGTGCGTGGGCGAGGGAACCAGCTGTGAAAAAAAAATAGATATGTCCATAGCCTCCACGTGGATCATCAATCTGGTCAGAGCATGGCTTGCGCTTCTCAAAAGATGCTGGGCTCAGTCGTCCCTTTCCTCACGCGGGAAAAGCTATCAGATATTACAACTTTATTTTCAAGGCAGACATAATGCATGCAAATGTCGAGGAGCGGCATGGAACATGACATGGCGCATCTCCCTGGGCAAGACTCGTACACGATCCTCACCAGTCTCTTTGGCAACTCTGCTCCCCATCCGATTTCCTTCCCGCAGACATCGAGGACCTGATGAAAAAAGACAAGAACGGCGTCGTCGCGATTTGCCGGTGCTGGCGGAGCAAAAACTTCCCGCTCTGCGACGGCTCCCACACGGCTTTCAACAAGACTTGCGGGGACAACGTGGGGCCTGCTGTGCTTAAGAAATAGGAATCTAAGGAATCTGAAAGAGCCCTAAGGGCATAGGTAACCTATGAAAATTGTCTGAATGAAGGATAGAAGCCTGGAGAATGAGTATGGAGCGGAGGAGCGCCGAGGCCTGTCAAGTAGGGCGTTCGACGGCAAGGAGACCGGGTCCCACACCCTCGAAGATCCCTCCAGAGGGTCTGTGTGCAGGGAAGAGGGGCAACGAATGAGAGTGCGAGAATGCGGTCCAGAGAGGTGGACAGGGCCAGGGTGTTAATGAAGAAGCATTGCGAGAGCACGGAAAGCGGGATGGCGCGCTTTGCTTTCGAGGAAAAGTCTTGGTCAGAGTCATTGCTTCCTTTCAAATCAGTTTTCAACTTCCTCTCTTCATGTCACACAACGGACTGCCGGCGTGCGGGTCCCAAAGGTCTGAGTCCTGGCGTCACCGACCGATCCTCTTCTTGGCTTTGGAGGCAAAGCTCATGGAGAGGGTCATAGGAGCGCGGCTCCCGGTGGGTGGGAGCTCGGTACTCAGCGAGGGATTTGTCGGAGCGGAAGAAAGCGTGTGAGGAGACGACGATAAAGCCGATGCGGGCGGGAAAGAGGCGGTGGCTGAGAAGGAAGGAAGGGCGGAGGAGGGAGGAAGAGGGGGGGGGGAGGAGGAGGGGGTGGTGGTGGTGCGAGGGGAGCTGTGATGTGAATGGGTATGGCAATAATTGCCGGCAGTCTGAGCGGCGTGCCCGGAAGGTAGACTGGGATGGTGCTGATGGTGGTGGAGATGCGAAGGAGGAAGATGAGGAGCGGGGCCGCCGTGAGGATAGGGGGGATGCTGCGAGGGCGAGGGGCGACTGTAGGCGCTCTCAGGAGGGGGAGGAAGAGGAGGAAGAGGGAGGGAGGACACCGGGTGTGAGGGGGAATACGCGCTTCCGGTAGGGTTGTGGCGGTGGGGGCGGGGGAGGAGGGAGGGCCGAGGGTTGCGGTGGGGGTGCCGCATGGAAGCTGAGTGTGGAGAGAGAAGGGTTCAAAGGCGACACGGTGTTGGAGGGAGGGGCAGGATGAGGGACCGGGACAGCGGCTTTGGTGGCGGCATTACCCGTCTTTACGCCGGCGGCGGCCATGCGGCGTTGCATCTGTTTCAGATGCCGCGCCTGGTCCTGCTTGGCCTGGTTCCCTGCCTTAGCCGCCGTGCGAGCTCTGTTGGCTTCTTTCGCTTCCTTCAAACGCTTCGTATGCCCGTGCTCGTAACCGCTCAAATGCACGGCGAAATCGCTCACGCCTGCGTACTGCTTGCCGCAAATATCACAATAGAATTCCCGGACTACCGCCTTCAGTTCCTGTTTGAGCGCTTCCTCCTTTGCAGCCTTCAGGGCCCGCTCTTCCTTTATCGCCACGGTCTCCTTCACCTCCACGTCTAGCAGCCTCCGGCTCCGTGTGGCCTCCTCGGCAGTGGTGTCATACTCCCTCCCTTTCCCTAGACCCTCCCCCCCCAGGCCCGCATCCACCAGTTGCAACGGCACCACCAACCCATTCCCCCCGGCTCTTCCCAAGGGCGTGTCTTTCTTCCACCCCATTTTCATGAGTAATTTCATCCCCCGATTATCGTCGGCCAGCGGGGTGTCGATTGTTGCCTGGTCGAAAGTACCGTGGTCCAGGTACCCAGCTGTCTCGTAGCGTTTAAACGAGACACGCTCCGTCGCGGCCGGGAGAGCCATAGAGGAAGCACGCGTCTCCAATATATCCGTGTAAGAGGTGGTGTCATCGTCGATGTGGGCACTTGACCCTGTATGGGCGGCTTTCCAGTCCGAGGCAGGGGGAAGGGCGCTCGTCGGGCCTTTTGCTGCCCCGCCCTCCTCCGGCTTTTCGATGTGCGACATACTGGCAAACGCAATGGTACCGTCCTTTTAGATGGCAACACTCTCTCCCCCAGTGACGAAAATAAACCTTACTACTAAGTTGCTTGTGGGAACACCTTTTGTGCGAGCCCTCGCCCCAGCTGCCTAAAAAGAGACCCCCAGAGCTCACGAGTAGACAAGACTTTGCGGAATGTGCGACACCTGAAATCCCAACGCTCTATGCACCTGTGCCGAGACATCGTGTTAAATGTGGCGAAAGAAGGAAGTGAAAGAGTCATCCGCCTTCGATATGAGAGGCCAAAACATTTATTTGCAAGTCGCTGAACCGAGACGGAGGACATCATCGCTCGATGAGACAGGGAAAAGAGCGACAAACACAGGAGCAGTGCCTTCCGATGTCATCCACTTAAACCATGCATTCCTTTCACAGGAAGCGACAGGAATTCTGTGGGTGAATGCGGCGGCAAGCGTTCCACTTGCAGTTATTACTTGTCGTCGTTCTGCTCCCTTCTCTTTTCTTGCATCGAGCTGCAGCGTTTGTTCCTTTCCCCTCCCCAAGGCCACACCGCGCATAAACCCAAGCGCGGGACCCCGACGATTTTCTTGGAGTGCTAAGCTTTCGAAGACTTCCGATACAATCATGTCAACGATGTCATCCACGACCTGTCCCGAAGCTGCCCAGCATCAGCCACATGTGATGGTGACTCTCCATCCAAATGGTGTCCTTGAGTTGCAGCTCAACCGTCCCAAAGCCCTAAATGCACTTTCCTTATCCATGCTGCACGAGATGAAAATATACGTGGAAGGGGCTTTGGTCGGCAAAAGCTGTGGTGGTGAAGGCGCCGTGAAGGCCTTGATCTTGACCGCTTCTGAGGATTCCCGAGCATTCTCAGCAGGCGGAGACATAAAAGAAGTCCTGGCGGGGCGGCTTTCTCAGGATGAGGCCATCAAAAAAGGTGGGCAGAAAAACGTTTTTTGGGCGTGTCCTTGCATACATCAGTTCCATGTTTCTTGTACATTAACATTTCTCAACTGCATATGGATGTACGTCAAGGGTTGATCTTTCCCTTAACTCTTGATTGATCCTGTCCCATGTGAAACATTTCAATACCCTTCCCCGAACCTTTGGTAACGACGGCACAACAGGGTGCGACCCCCTCACATACATCACTGTCGAATATCAAGTGGACTCTCTCTTGCACAAGCTGGCTGCCAAAGTCCCTGTAGTGGCCGTGTGCGATGGAATCGTGATGGGAGGGGGCGCCGGGATCTTCCAGAGTGCCACTTTTCGAGTCGTGACACCGACCTCCACGTTCGCCATGCCGGAATGCAGGATTGCCATCCTCCCTGACGCTGGGGCCATGAGTTTCCTGTTCCGGGCCCCTGGGGAGGTCCCTTTGTACTGCGCACTGACCGGCGCGCGCCTCCAAGGCCGCTGTATGCAAGCTGTAGGCCTCGCCACTCACGTGGTCGAGTCCAAGGGCATCCCGAACCTTCTCTCTCTCTTGCGGACGGAGGACCCGGAGAACTTCACAGAGATTCTGACTACAAGGCAGGTTGCGGAGATGGAGCTGGGAGAAACGCCGGTAAGGAATTGAGAAAGGTGGTATATAGCTCCTGGCAGTCGGGGGAAAGGGCTCCGTCGGTTCGCTGCTAACGGAACGTCTCCTTCCTTTCCTTCCCTCCCTGCCCTTTTCATGGCGCTCATCGATGAAAGATTGAAGCAAGGAGACCGGTCATCGATGCTGTCTTTGCCCATAACACTGTTCGGGAGATCTACAACGCTTTGGTGGAGATTCGGCAGCAGGAGGTGCAGGAAGCCCACGCTGCGGAATCCGCTTCAGTGTGTCGTGGGAAGGATCTTGGAGGCGGTAACACGAAAACGGAGGGGACGGAGGGAAAGGAAAGCAACAGTGGCGAAGGACGGGGTAGGAATGAAAGGGGGGAAAGCTGGATTGAAACTGCTTTGGCGGCTTTAACGTCGGAATGTCCCGCTTCGCATGTTGTCACGTTGCACGCTGTTCGTACCGCCCAGTGTCGGGGCCTAGATAAGTGGGACATAGACCAAGGTCTTGGTATCGAGCACGTGGCTAATCGATGCTTGGGTTTTCGTCAAGACTTCGTCGAAGGCGTGAGCACGGCTGTCGGTACCAAGAAAGGGTCCAAACCGGTATGGTCACATTCAGATTGGGAGGCAGTTGAACGGGACCCAGAGATCATCAAATTACTCCAAGCCATGACAAAATCAAAAGATTTTTGGGACGAAATTAACCAACGGACAGGTAAATAATGAAAAGAATAAAAAAAAGAGGAAAAGCAGAGAGGGTCAGGCAGAACCTGCGGTCTCTCCGACTCTATATGGGCCGTTCGCGCCTTTTTTTGAAACGGGTGTCGAAGGGCTGGATGGGATTTCACCAGTGCCATCCATGGCGAGGACTTATAAGTACACGGCTTCAAGCTTTTGTGGCCGTTCTCCACCATGCTTCGTTTTGTGCACGCACTGAAGTGCTTGTTAGAGTGCATGCACTTGTGCGGCGCCGGAGACAAGCCTGCTGTGTACCCATTGGTGAGCAACAGCTTCGGAGTGTGCACGGCGCCTTCGTCCCGCTGCTTCAAGCCACGCCCTTGGCCTCTTTTTGGTGGACTTAAATCTTTCTCTCACCCCTTTCTTTCCCGCCCGTCACGCAGGCAAGGGAGCCGGGCGTAGTCCTTGACTCGGTAGGACGGACCGCGACTCCCTCTTGCACTGCGCATAGTGAGACTGGTGGGGGTGTTTTTTGGGGTCATTTGCACGCCCGAAACGAACGCCGACGAGCGAGCGACTGAGCCTTCAACCTAAGTTGAGGTACGTGCGAGACCTTGGATGCACGCGAGATTAATGTGTTAGCTGGTAAATAAGCTCACACGTCCAAATTTACTCTCTGTGACTGATCGGGACGTTTTGCTGCCTCTTCATCCTTTTTTGTCGAACCAGACAAACAACGGAAAAAGCCCGCACAGCTGGAAAACCGATGAAGCTGTCGGGTCAAGCATGCAATGCCCTGAGACTGGGCGCGGTAGTCTTCTGCATGATATCATTTTGTGTCCAAGGCTTTATCACCCCGCGACCTTTGCCTCTGGTTGCTCCATTTTCCTCGCACAGAGGAGCGACCACCTTCCATGATTCCGACGCTTACATGCCGAGCCCAAGCCCGTTCCGCGCCCCTCAAAGCACGCAGCACCCAGGACAAGACGTGGACGGGACTTACACAAGTACACTGCAAGATCGATTATTTGAAACGGACTCGCGCCGGGTTATTTTGTTTGATGGCGGTACGTGGTGCTTCGCGAGTGAGGAGGCCTACCCCTTGGGCCCCGGGGATGATGTCTGTCTGTCGGATGAGTGAAGGCGCTGGAAGACGAGCTCATGTTCCGGGTATCTATTTGTGTTATACGCTGTTCCCTGTGTTAAAGGACCTTACTTATTCCCTCTTCTCCATGCCCACGCCAGACTGCGGTTTCTGCTCGGACGTGGTCAACCTCTTCATCAATTTTGACGGCGATCCGCGTGGAGCTTTTCGATTTGCGTCCCTGCAGGGTGAGATAGGCCAGGAGCTTCTTACAGCCAACGGGCTTGACACAGAGCACTTCAACACCATCGTGCTTGTGGACAAGGACGAGGTAGGTGGGGCAGATGGACCGTGGGGCGGGGGCCTCCCTGCCTTGCCTCCTTTTCTTTTGCTCTGTCTTCCGCATTCCATCGATTTTGAGTCCCAGTCAGGCCACGTGGTACTGTCCTTTTCTTTTGCTCTGTCTTCCGCATTCCATCGATTTTGAGTCCCAGTCAGGCCATGTGGTACTGTCCTTTCCTTTGCTCTGTTTTCCGCATTCCATCGATTTTGAGTCCCAGTCAGGCCATGTGGTGCTGTCCTTGTATTGGATGTTCTGCGCTCATTTCACCCTCCCCTCCGCCCCTCCCCGCAGGTCTTCACCTCCTCCGATGCCGTCTTGGAAATCGCCGACCGGCTGAAGGAGCCTTTCCCCCAGCTGGCACGCTTGGCCAAGGTTCTCCTACCGCACGTCTTTCGCGACGCCCTCTACAGCTTCGTTTCTTCGAACCGACATTTGCTGGCCGGGGAGAAAGACTCGTGCCGGATCCCGAGTGAGAACGAGATGGAGCGGTTTTTGGACCAGTAAGGGAGGGAAGGGGGGGGGACTGGCCGCAGGGAGGGAGGAGGGGAGGAGGGACTGTCTGGGAACGAATCCGGGGAGGGTTGAAGGGAAGGACACGGGGGACGTGCACGTGTATATAGTGAATAGCCGTGCGACAAGCCTCCGTAGATGTGCGAAGCCCTTTGTCCTCCGCTGATGGCGGCGGTCAATTTTGTCTTGACAAGAGGCAGCACATGGGCCGAAGCCATGTTGGGAAAGAGGATGGAGGGCGAGGGAAAGAGCAGTGTGAGGGAAGAGTGAGGGAGGGGTAACGGAGGGAGCCCACATGGAAAGGCTGGGGGAGGAGGACGAGAAAAGTATGGAGCAGTGCAATGGATGACCACTAAAGAGATTGCTTATCCGCGTGTGTTTTATACAATATGTGT